CTAAGCAAGCATTCAGAGTTAAGGGATTAATAATTAACTTTCTTTAACTCAAGGGAAGAAAAGAGGACTGTGGTAGGAAGTGGTGGACTAAAGCAGGATTTATGCCTGTTTTTGAAAAAGAACAAATAAACCATTCAGGTTGTAAAGGAGAAAACTGCCATGAAAACATTTGTATGCATGAACAAGGATCAATACCCCATATGTTACTTTTAAATAGCTTGAGCAAACAATAGTTTCACCGCACACATGCAATCATAATACAATGCTCAAGTGTATTCAATAAGAGACCTGGAGGCCAACATCTCTGCTTATATCTAACTCCACAAGTAGAAAAATCCCCCCTCAATGTTTAGGTGGATAACACTGCATATGCAATGTATTAGACACTCAGTTGTTGCTTTTGAAATGAAAAAGGCTTTATGTCAGAAGCAAAATGCACTTACGGTTGATTTATATTAAAACAAATATGGTATAAAATATTATAAACAAACTATTAACAGCTTTGCTTTGATGTTCATACAACTTTCTTATTTTTTCCCTTTAAATAGCAACCAGACTTTGCAAAGGGCAGATGTAATTTTTGTTGATCTTAGCTGTCAGACAAGACAGAGGCAGCATGAAAGATCACTTACAGTGATGTGAAGCCAATCCCAGGGACCTTTTTCAAGTATCTACAGGTTATAACCCAAACAAAATATTACAAGAGAAGCCCTGACATGAAAAGATAATAACGATACACAAAGGGATCACTTAAATAGCCAGTGACATAGTCTGATCTGGAAAGTTAGACAAAGATGGGTTACATATGTGCCATATGAAAGGATGTCTTCCTTTTGACCACTCCAGGATGTTGCAGATCATTGAGCTAAAAGGGCTAGCCTGGTGCCTGAAGAACAGCTAGAAAGCCTAGAATGATAAAACATGAATTTGGCAGTGTAAGCTCCAAAACATGCTGCTGCTACACAGACAATATGACACACAGCCCCAAGAATTACTTTTACAAGATGCTAAGTAAATAAAAAAAATATATATAATTAAAACATAGCACCACGCAAAATCAGTAGATTCACTCAACTGTCAAGAATAAATTCAGTGTACTGGAGACACCGGCTGAGACTTGCAGCTGGCTGAACATGTAACACCACAGAAGGCCAAGCCTGCCATCTTGTGGACATTTGTACAAGACGCTTTTATAGTCTTGGAAACCTGAATCAAGTGGCAAACGAAACTTTTCATTTAAATTCTTTTTATTTGTTTATTTTAGTCAAATATATATGAATGCTTCCTTCTTGAGGAGGGTTTTTCGGAGAGAATGTTTACAGAAATCAATTAATCTAAATCAAACTGCAAACAAATTAAAACAGTGACAAACAATGGAACGTAGCATTTCAATTTGTGCCATGGGATGACATTGTGACATGATGCAGCCATTTTTTTAAATTCATGGATTATTCATTTAAATGTGGGTAACTTGCCTAAATGTGTCCTTGCTTGTAATTAATCTTATAGGATTTACATGACAAAAAAAAAAATCCTTAAAAGTTCCTGAAGATGCTGGAAAGCTTCCAAAAAGCCTGGCTTGAAAGCAATTTTTTCAGACATCCTATGCCTCATGTTCCTAGAGTCAGGGTGTTTTGCATAAAGGCACAAAAGCATTAAAGCCCTCCAAGGGCATTTTTTTTTTTGGCAAGACATTGGTCCCAACAGGCAGTCCTCTTTCTTATTCCACATCACAAACAAGGAAAAAAAATAAGACAGAATAAAATAAAACATACAATTATTAGATTATACTTAAAGTGTACAAGTCTAACATCATTTCTCTAATAAAAAAAAGTCTACTGAAACCTATGCTTAGATTTGAACAGTAAAGGTGGATACAGTGGGTCACTCTCTGAGGACTTCAGCAGTATATGACACCCTAATGAAAAGCTAGTTTGTGAGCAGTTGAGGGGAAACCTCTACAAAGTATACAGCACAGGTACGGTTCTCTGGGGCTGTTGGATAAACTCCCGTAGACTCAGTTTTCCCTGTCTGATCAAGCCCTCTCCTCTGCAGCAGGGCAGGACCACAAGGACCCGGAGGATCATGTCAATGTTAGGGAAAGACTTTATGTCCGAGGCCTTCAGGGTGTTTAGAACACAGGTGGGAAGGGGTTGTTGAGCAGATATGCTCTCCAGCCACTTCTGCCTCCATTTCTGTAGCTCTATGTGTAAAGAGCTCCAGTCAGGCAGATCTTCCTGGTATACCTTGAAAAGGTCAGTGTCCGTGCAGCATCCTTCCATCTTAGAAATGACATAAGGCACAACCTGCAAGCAGCGAAGGGCTGATAGAACATAGTCAGAGAAAAGCTCTCTTATCTCGCTGATCGAGTGCTCTATTGCTCCTTTGCTTACAACCTCCCTGTAGTGCACAAACAAGGACTCTTGTGAAGTGTGGTGAACACTGATTTTCAACTTGGAAGCTAGTACCACTGCCTCTTGGAACCATGTCTGAAGATGACCATCAACATTAGCAGTCACATCATTCAGAGCGGAGAGTAGGTCAGGCAGGCTGTTCACAGCTTGATATAAATCCAGAGGTCCACCTTGGAGACTCTGACTTAAATTTTTGGTGAGGCTCAAGATGTTTTTCATTATCACAACAGACAGGATAAACTCAAAGTTCTGGAAAATGCAGAGGAAGTCCACAGCCTGTGTTATTTCTGCCTGGTTGTCATGGTTTTCCTTAATGTCTTTCAGACAGAGCATGATGGCTTCTAGAATTTCTGTTGCGAGTTCCAGAATGTCATGGCTCCTCTCCCATTGGCTTCTGATTAGCTTATCTCTCAATTCACCGTGCTTTCTTTCATCCTGTTGGAACAAAGACATGACTATGTTTTGTAGCTTAGCCTGTTTCTCTGCATCCTCAGTCAACCAATAAAGTACTTTCTCAACCCACATGGAGCACTCTGCTATCTCATTCACTGTAGATGACCTGGCCAGCCACATGTTGAGAGAGACAGAGGAGTTGATGGTGCGTACAGCTTGTGGGTACCTCTGTGACAACAATGCTGCCACTGCTCTCACCTGTGCACCTGCAATACCTACAGTCAGTAAGCTTTGCCCTCGACAAAAAGCCAAATTCAAACCACACTTTTCAGACAGTGCTGTTGTCACAGAATCCATGAAGACATTAATGTCCTTGTCAAGGGGGACAAAAGCTAATGTATCCTCACATAATGTCTGTTTGTCGAAATAGCAGACACCCACAGGAATATATGGATTGCCTTCAATCTCCACCTGTTGATCAAATATGATGGAAAAATACCTTGAATTTGAATGTTCTTCGAGAAATGCCTCTTGAGCAGGGCCATCATAGAAAGACAAGATTGCTTTATGGGGTACAGTGCTGTCAGGTGCAGCTACTGAAGGCTGGTGCAGGTTATCCTGACCTGCTGCTTGTGTGACTATTTTGGGATGATCTGGGCCATCTTGAGATATTGGACAGGACTGATCAATACCATCCTGAACAGTTACTTTGGCCTGGTTAGAAACATCCTCACCTGCAGTCTTACTATTGTATATATTAGTTTGCGATGCAAAATCTTGACTACTCACAGCTTGAGTTGTTGTGGAAGCCTGGGAAACACTATCTTGAGTGAGAACTATGGGCTGCCTATCTTTGTCATCTTGATCTACAGGGTTGGCCTTATCAAAGTCATCAGGAGCATGCACTTTGGACTGACTACTGTCATCCTCAGCTGAATACATAGCCTGAGTGGTAACATCTTCACCTTTAGCTTTTAGCTCAGTATCTTGGGCTGCTGCTATGGGCTCCACGGAGATATCCCGGCCTTCTGTAGCATGCATGGAAACATCCTGAACTTCAGTGACATGCCTCCATGTTGACCTCCTGGACGTCTGCATCAGGATCCATTGTAATATCCTGTGCTACTGTTGTGGGTTCTGCAGAGACCTCTTGGGGTTCTATCTCAGGCTCCATTACTACATCCTGAACTTCTGTTGCTGCAGGTTCCATGGTCACATCTTCAGATATTGCAGCAGGGTGCGCAGTGACATCCTGGGATACTATGCTGGATTCTGTGGGGACACCCTGGACCATTACTATGGGTTCTGAGACAACATCCTGAACTTCTGTGGTATCCATGCCAACAGTCTCAGTAGCTGTTACATCCTCTGCAACAGATTCTATGCTGTTGAGATGCTCTGGTGGAACAGACTCCATGTTAACACCTTGGACTGCTGCTGTGGGCTCCATGGTAACACCCTGGACCATTGTTGCAGGCTCTGTGGTGATCTCTGGGGCTGCTGTTATGGGTTTCATGGAAACACCCTGGCCTTCTAACACAGGCTCTACAGTAACACACTGGGTAGGAACAGTGGGTTCAATAATCTTGCCCTGGTGTGCTGCTGCAGATTCCAGGGTGACAGTATCTGAGATTACTGCAGATTGTGTAGGGATATCTAGGATGGCTGCTATAGGTTCTGTGGTGACATTTTGCACATCTGTTCTTCTCTCTGCTACAGACTCTGTGGGGGTATCTAAGGCTTCTGTGGGGATATCTAGGGCAGCTGCTGTGGGTTCTGAGGTGACATTTTGCACATCTGCTTTAAGCTCTGTGGCAATATCTAGAGTGGCTGCTATGAATTTTGTTGCAACATTTTGTACATCTGCTCTAAGCTCTCCTATAGGCTCTCTTGGGGTATCTAGGGCTCCTGCTGTGGGTTCTGTGGTGACATCTTGCACATCTGCTCTGAGCTCTGTAGAGACTTCTGATATACTCTTAGTAGTGATGCTCACTCTTTCTGAATCAGGAGCACTGTCGATATCCTGAATTACTGCCGTGGGCTTAGTAGAGATTCCCTGGAATAAAGTTACAGGCTCCATGGCCACATCTTGAGCCTGTGTAGGTCTCATGGTAACATCTGGTGCCGCTGCTACACGTTCTTTAATGACACACTGTGTTTCTTTAACTTGCTCCAGGGAGACTTCCTGCATTTTTACTTGCTTCAGGGTTAGATCTTGGACTTCTGTTGTGAAAGCAACACTAACACCCCGACTTGCTTCTGCATCTGCCTCAGTGGTAATCCCATGGGAATGCTGTTATAGGCTCTGTGACATCACCTTGTTCAGTTTTCACAAGCTCTTCTGAAACAACAGTGGCAAGAGCAGTAGCCTCAGTATTGACAGTACCTGTTGTATTTGATAGATCCAGTGTAACATCCACAGTTGATGCAACAGGCTCTGTGGTGACGTTCTGAGCTGCCAGTTCTGTTACCGGTTCTGTGGCAGCAATCTGTGCTGCTTCTGACAGGTCCATGGGATCATCCTGGACTGCTGCAATAGGCTCTGCTGCAACATTCTGTTCTACCGGTTCCGTAACAGGCTCTGTAGCAGCAACCTCTGCTACTTCTGTAAGATCCATGGGATCATCCTGAACTGCTGCAATAGGCTCTGCTGCAACATCCTGCGCTACCAGTTCCGTAACAGGCTCTGTGGCAGCACCCTCTGCTATTTCTGTAAGATCCATGGGATCATCCTGAACTGCTGCAATAGGCTCTGCTGCAACATCCTGGGCTACCAGTTCCGTTACAGGCTCTGTGGCAGCACCCTCTGCTACTTCTGTAAGATCCATGGGGGCATCCTCAGCCACTGTTTCAGACTCTGTTGTGAGAAACTGGGCAGCCAGTTCTTTTAGAGGCTCTGCAGCAGCATGCCGTGCTACTTCTGTGAGCTCCATGGGGGCATCTTCAGCTGCTGTATCAGGTTCTGTGGTTACATACTGGACTGCTACTGTAGACTCTGCTGGAACAGCTGGCTTAATGGTGTTCCCCCGAGCTGCTGTGACCGGTTTGGTCATTTCTTGTTCAGTCGTTGCAAGCTCCTTTGAAACACTGGCAACAATAGCAGCCTCTGTACTAATATTATGGGTTGTCTCCGATAGATCCAGAACGTCATCCTCAGCTGCTTTAACAGTCTCTGTGGTTTCATTCTGGACTGCCATGACAGGGATTACAGCAACATTTTGAGGTGCTGGTTCTACTACAGGGTCTGGGGTTATACCCTGTGTTTCTCTAATGTTCAAAGTGAGATCCTCATCTACTGTAACCAGCTCTGCAGTTACACCCTGGGCTGGCTGTTCTGTTATAGAAGCTGTGTCAGCAGAATGCTGCACAGCAGCACCCTGTGCTTCTTCAGTGAACTCCATGGGGACAACCTCTGCTGCTGCATGAGGATCTGTGGTGACATCTTGGACTGTTTCTTCCATTACAGGCTCTGTGGTTCGTGTGTCCTGTGTTAGTGAGAGTTCCAAGGTGACATCTGCAGCTGCTGTAACAGGTTGTAAAGTTACAACCTGGGCTGTTGTTACAGGGTCTACAGCCTGAGATGACAGTTCCAATACAGGTTCTGTGGAAATAACCTGTGCTGCTCCAAGTTCCACAGTTACAACCTCAGATGCTGTAACAAACCCTGTGTTGACCTCTTCCGCTGTCGATTCTGTTACAGCCTCTGTGACAACACCTTGCACTGCTTCTTTGGCTGATGTCACAGGTTCTGTGGTGACATCCTGGGTTGTCCCTTCTGTTAGAGATTCTGTAGTGTCATTTTGGTCTTCCACTTCTGTTGTGAGGCCTTGAGTTACTGGTGTGAGATTTATAGTGACAACCTCATCTGCTGTGTAAGATTCTGTGGTGACATCTTGCACTGCTTCTTTGATGTCCTTGGCTGAAGTGATGGGCTCTGTGGAGACATTCTGGGCTGCCACTGTTACAGCCTCTGTTGTGACACCTTGCCCTACAGTTGTGAGGTCCAGTGTAACAACCCTGATATCCTGGGCTGTTGCCTCTGAAACATCCTGATGTCCTGCTGCCTCTGCAAATGGACTCACTGCAGACAAACCTTCACTGCCATCTAGAACTGTAGTTGTCGACTCCTGCCTCCTCTCTAGAGCAGTTGAATCATCTGTTTCTATGGCACTATCCTCTGGAGTCACAGTGATATTTGGTGCAGGAGGACTGAGTTCTGGAGACACAGATAAACAAAAAAAATTACAACAACAACAACAACAACAACAAGCCATAAGAATATATAGCCACAAAGTGTAGTTTCCCTAAACTCACTTAAAGAATAAACGAATGTTCTTACGATAGGATGTTTCAATACAGATTGTCACTCACCTTTAACGTCACATTGAAGTGCTGTTTCAGGCTGATCTTCTGTGATGGATGGAGCTGTGTCCTGTGCTTCCTCTGAACCACCAGAGCCATTAGTCTTAATGGCTATTTCTTCTGAAGCAAACGCAATAACTTCTGGGGAAAAGAGAGAGTTCACTACAAATCCAAAAGCGTAGGTTCTGTACACACTTCAGCTATATTTTTAAGAAAGCATAACTGAACTGTTTCTACGTAGCAAAACAATTTGGGGAAGGCTAGACTGCAAAATTAAAAACATTAGTGAAAGAACACATTTGAAATATAAACACATGACATTTATTATCATATAAAAAAATTATAAATAAAATAAATAAATAAATAAATAAATAAAACACATACCACCATCCATTCTCATAGTGGAGACGTTCTGTTTCATCTGCAGTTTTGAACATGGAATACCAGTTTAAAACACCAGCAACACACTTATGAGCACTTAAAAAAATGAGCAAATAATACAGTACAAACCTAGGTACACACCTGACAGAGAAACTCATGACACTCTGGGTCATTTTCCATACACCTGTCAATCACATCCTCCAAAGTCTGCAGTGCCTTGCGATGCATAAGGAGCATTACTGTGTCAGTCTTACTACCCCTGCAGACAATGTCATTCCTGAGAAAGGATCTCAAAGAGTTAAGAGTGGTCTTCATTAAATCACACTCCATGCTAATGCTAGGTAGCACAGCCACAAGCTTGAGGAGGGCGGTAACATTAGGATGACTTCTAGCCTCGGGATGATGGAGAGTCTCAGAGATGGAGGCCGGTGGTGAGATGTCTTGATACTTTTCTCGCCAAGCAGTAGCCCAGGTATTTATGTCATCTTCTACTGTGTCTGGTTCAGGTAGATCACTTTGATAGATGGTGTAGAGTTTATCTGTTGCCTCCGGAAAAATAGGCAGAGGGTTGCAGGTTGGAAGCAGCGAGAGAACCTTGAGGGCCTTCAGGTGACATTCAGAAAAGTTAAACTTCATTTCTTCAATCAGACCACTCAGAACAGGTATGCTGACTGTTTCTCTGTAGCCCACCTCTGGTGCCTCATAGCTGCCAACTGCCTCTGGATAAGACAGTCCTCCAGCAACTTTAGCAGCAAGCTGTGCTGCCTCCTCAAACCAGACAGCATGCACTGCATTTATATTCTCCAGCATCTTACTCAGGGACTCTACTATAAGAGGGATCTTCTCCAGCTCACACATAATGTCAGCTGGATTTCCACAACGGAACACCGTGCTACAATTACGTAGTGGAGCACAGGCATTTTTCAGGATCACAAGAGGAATGACAAAATCAGACTCCCTAATGGCAGTAGAGAGGATTAGGGCATGTATTGACATGCTATTACTCCATGAACCATTAGAATTGTTACTAACAGAGTCCAAGCAACTGAGAACTCCCTCTAGCATGTCCACCAAAATGTCAAAGAAATCTTCAGTTTTTTTCCACCTCGACAAACAGGTCTCTGGGACCTCTGCAAGAGCTTCTCGAGGAGTATTCAAGAGACCCTCCATAGTCTGGGAAAGCTCAATATGCAGTCTTGGTGACTGATCAAAGAAAAGTAACAGGTCCTCAACCACACCAAGAACCTTAGTGATGGGGTCATTATGAAGGCTTACAGCCAGCCAATAGGCAAGTCCACAGGACTCACTAGGCGTGTTGATGGCAAGAGGATAGCTGGCCAAGAAGTCTAATGACATTTTTCTAAGACTATGACTACTAGCACCCATACACATGAAGGACTGGCCACGACAGCAGCCCATCTGGAGTCCCCATTCCTCTATGAGAGTGTCTGAAAGAGTCTTGGCTTGAACATCTGCATCAGCACTTCCATCAAAGGGCAAGAACCCTAACAGCTCCACTTTAGGTGTGCAATCATCAACATACCTGACAAAGACAGGGAAGTACTTCTTGTCATCCACCGAGACCATTTTATCAGTGATAATGGAAAAGAATGGGGACTCTTGAACTTCACAGAGGATTGTTTCCCTGATGGACTTAACAAAATTCTCCAATATTTCCCCATCTGATAAGCACTTAATATTCTCCTGACTCCAGTGACACATGCTAAGCTCTTGAATGATGCAGTCTTGCTCTTCCTTTGGAAGTTCTAAAAACAGGCAGTTTCTCCGGGCCATTCTGGCTGCCACTCTAAAGACTCTCTCGCTGCTTTGAAGATTGTCCGCAGGTTTGCCAGCGTGGCCATTCTCATCCAAAGGCTTCACCTGCTGTTCTGTCATAAGTGCTTCTGACACTGGCTGAGTGTCCATTTCTTCTACAGCACCTTTGTAGTTATCTACAAGAAAATTAAGCACCTATTAAATATTTCAGTAAGCATTAAAATTACAAAAACAATGTGTTTAAAAATGTGTTAAGTGCAGGACAGAAACACATACACATACATATTACCATGAAGATTTAATATAATCTTAAAAACTAATGTGAGGTTATTTTTGTGAGAGGGCTGGGGGCTCATACCTTCTGCCTTTACATCATTACGTTCTGGGAATATTTCAGATGCTTTGTCCTTGGGGAAGATCTGTTTTCAAATCAATTTAAAGGGTATAAAAAAGTTAATGACAGCTCAAAACCATTACAAAAGCAAGAGAAAAATATGCTAACAACTTAAATTTTCAAACCTGCTGAGTGTCCATCTCCTCTACCTCATCTTTGTGGTTATCTACTGTAAAACAATAGACCAACAGCTTGACTGGATCACTTTGTGAATGTGTTCAGGCATAGAATTAAAAAGATTAAGAACTGAAAACTCTAAATATCTTCAAAACAACATTTCCTGTTTGTAGTTGCTAATCATTCACAGCAGAAGTTGCAATACAATATTTTATGGTTTAGGTTCAAGAATTCTAAAACCAGAAGCAAGCTGAAACAGATAATAGAATGACAAACCTTCCTTTACTTCAGAATTCCTCAGGAGACTTTTAGACTCTTTGTCCTGTGTAAAAAAACAATGTTGAAGCAGTATGAAAAAAACAAAAAATTTAACAATCCATACTTTGATTACTATGATGATTATCAGTTAAACAAACAAAAAAAGGACCTTACCAGGCAGATGCCCTCCAGTGTTTTTGGAGTGACTTTCAAGCACTGGGTTACCATCCTGTCCAGATCCCTGTTGAAGTTTGCGCCCACCTGCAGCATGGCTAAACATGGAGACCTGTCTTTGGCATAGGTGTTCCTCAAGTAGTCTTGAAACATTTTATGGCGCTTCACTTCCCCACAGTATTCCAGTGCAGTGCTTGGCAAGACACACATGATCTTTAGCAATGTGTTAATGTTGGCAAAGTACTGCATGATTGGTAAGCGAAGAGTCTGAAAAATAGTGTCCGGTATAGTCGGAGAGACCACTTTGGTCTTCCATTTTACCTTCCAGCAAGACAACTCTGTGAAGAAGTTGTCAGGGTCTGGAAGGTCACCGACATATAAAGGAGGCTTTGACTTCAGGCTTTCAAAAGTGTAGCTGACGGTCACAGAACACGGGACAAGGGATAAGAAGTTGAGTGCCTCTTTGTGGTCATCAGAGAAATGATCTTTGACAGAGTTGATAAGGTGGTCAACTAAGGGGAGGCTGACTACATCTTTGTAGTATCCGCCTGGTTTTAGCAGGCTGTCCCTTGGAAAGGTTACACCATCAGGCACTTTAATCTGCACACCCAGGTTTTGAGCAAAGGCACAGGCTTCATCAAACCAGTTTTGGTGGAATACTTTGATGTTGGTCTTGACTCGGTTGAGTGTGGCTACAATGCCACTGATTTGGCAGAGCTGTGAGGCAGCACTAAAATGATCTTTCTGTAGTGCCGCACTCAGTTCTCTGGTGAAGGATGAGACGTTCTTCAGGGCAACTAAAGCTACAATGAAATCAAAGTCCCGAATCAGTTGCAGGAGTTTCTTGGCTTGGTTAATTACGGACAAACTCCAACTCTGTGGACTGTGGCTCTGGAAGGACTCTAGACACTGTGCTAATGGTTCCAGAATCAGAGCAAACACATCATAAGAGTCATGCTTCTCTAACCAAGAGGAACAGAATGTCCCTTGAAGTTCGTGGACTTTCTCATAGCTCTCCCTTAGACCAACAGCTAAGACCTGGTCTAGCTCTTTTTCCAGTTCAGGCATGCTGCTGAAAAACAACACTATCTTCTCTAATGTATCAATGGCTCGGCAGACTGAGGCCACAGGCACAGACCTTGACCACCAGGTATTAAAAGAGTAACAAGAGCAGTGAGTGCATATTGCAAGAGGGTGCATCTCTTGTACTTTGCAGGCGAAAGCCTTAAGCTTGTAAGAGACTTCACCTGAACCCAAATAAGCCTGGCCTCGGCAATATTTCAAATCAAGACGCCACTCTTTGGTGACAACGTCAAAAAGACGCTCACACATAGATTCGGTATCAAGGCTCGCATCCACAAATCCCAGCAGCTCCAGCCGCATGACATCAAAACTATCCACAAACCTGAGAAACAAGGGGAGAAAGTCTCCTTCTCCTAACCTCACTGCCCGATCAATGAACAAGGAGAAGAAAGAATTACCGACCTCAGAAAGAACCCCTTCGCGTACCACGTCCTCGCATACTTTCAAAACTTCGTTCATTTCTGATTTTGTCACATATTCAACTTCTCCCTCCTGGCCTCCCTGAGACTGCCTGCTTTGGCTGTTGCAGGCTGCAGTGACCGCAGCCAGCAAGGCTGACTTCAATGCCTCTTTATCAGTCCCTGTACAATCAGCTGGTTTCTGTGTCTCCAATTCCATATCCAAGGTCATTTCTCTTGGTTCCTCCATATCTTCCTTTGAAGCATCATTTGCATTGTTTTCTGATGCTGAAAAAAATAAAAGATAAAAAAATTAAGTTTTTTCAAGTAAAGAAAAAAATTAGTACATATATTTATAAGCCTATATAAGATATTTTCCCCAAACAGTGTAAGCAACATGAGAATTAATTACTATTAAGAAGGATTAGTTTTACATGTTGAGGTGGTTATGTATGTGGTTATGTGATAATTTTCAGTTTCTCAACAATTAGGTATCCAAAAACAAGCATGTCTGTAATTTTTACAGACTATGCATCCCTGTATCAGTAAAGTATGTGGCACTTTATAGGTTAAATTAATCCAGTGCAAATTGCCGTCAGTAAATATTCCATCATATCCTGTGGAAAAGGAGCTTTTGCTGTTTTCCAAAATATAGAGGCACTCAAAGAAGTATTGTATTTGTATTCTCTATGGCTCAAATCAAGACGACGTATACAGTCCTCCTCAAGCATAGGACTCTGAACATTAATCCATGAAAAGTGACAAAGCTTAATTTTATATATCAGCGACTGTTGGCTGTAAATTCCCGAAATAACAACAATGCTATGTAAATTGTTAGGGTAAACAAACTCACTATTAAATTAAATGTCTGGACTTGTGAGCAGCCGTACGAAACATTTTTGGTGTGATGGCAGCTTGTAAATTCAGTAGCCACTCTTGAGTAGTCAACTTTTTCAACAAGCCAAGATTTCTTATTTCACTCAAATTACAACATTACAGACATCCTGTGGTAAAATGACATTAGCCCCACCTCCCCATGTAGAGCCAGTCCCACCCCAATAGTACTTTAGCTGGTGAGAGTTAGTTTTTTTTTCTTTTTTTAAATAACAAGCTTTACCTGAAGGTTGAACTTCCATCACTTCGTCCTGAGAACACAAAAGGAGGCTGCATTATGAATCATACACTGTGTGACTAATACAGTAGCAATAAGTGATCAATTAACAATCACAGAATTAACAATTAAACATGTCACATAAATACACCTCACTGGCCTACATTCATCAAACTCCACAAAGCAAGAATATCTGGGTCAGTCAATCAATGATTATATGAATGCATAGAGCCTCATTTTAGTTTACAGCTCACACTATGGTCACTTATCCACTACAAGGTACCATAACTTTTGGCACCAGAAAACTGCTTTTTCCATTGGTCCAGCACAAGAAGTCCCAGTTTTACGGATTTTGGTGCCTAATCCAGACGGTACCAACAGGACCTAAAGGTATTTGAGGGTGTTCTCTGTCTCTGGCAATACTTGCAGCTGAAGCAGACAATGATTTAGCAAATTCTTTAGTCTCCTAGGTGAAGACAATATCATCAAGTACTATTAAATTACCAATAAGAGCACCTGAATGTAAACTGGAATGGTACGTTGATGTGTTGATTGCTAAGGTCACACTAACACTGTTGATATTTACGCTAGCCACCACAGAACAAGTGTTTTTGCCCATTTGCTCAACCAGCAAGCAAGGTAGCTAATTACAATGCTGGAGAGGCGTAAAATAAGGAAAAGACAATTGTATCCCAAGTTCAAAAAGTTCCTGCTTGGGTCAGTTCTTGTTTTTGAATGTGCAGTGGAAAAACACCCTAATACACTCTGATATGAATGGTCCAGTTTTACTACGCCATAAACTATAAATCTGAGAAATAAGCAGTCTAATTACCTTACAAAGCAGCTGCAGAATGTCCGGATGATTTTCCACATATGACTGCACCATATCCTCAATGTTGAAGTGTACATCTTGATTGACATAAACAAATGCCATGTTGCACAGTCGCTTCTCTGCTGGCACCTCCTTCATGTAGGAATGATATCTGTCCAAAACCATGTCATACTGTCCATACACATCTGCATCTGCATTAATACAAGGAATCGAACCTAGAACTCTCAGCAGGCTCTGCACATTGGGATAGAAGCCAATGTCTGGGATTTTCAAGGTGGCAAAGACACTGGTGGGCAGGATTCTCCGCTTGCTGGCGTGCCTCCACTTCACCTCCCAGCAGCCCAGCTCATCATAGAAGGAGTCTGGGCGTGCCAGGTTGTTCAGGTTAGCATCAGCCACCTTGTCTTTGCGGATGCTGAAATTGTGGTCAGCCATGTATGACGGCACTAAAGATAGCCATCTTAAGATTCTGACCATCTCAATGCCCAGGACCCTCTTGACCTCATCGATGAGATACTGCAGGATCATCTTGCTCAGTGTTTCCCTGTAGTAATCTTCTGCTGAGGGTTGGGGTTTTGCCTCGCCATCTCCATTAGTGGCAGTGTCCACCGGGAGAGTGACTGGCACTCCCAGCTTTTTGGCCCGACCCACTGCGTCAGAGAACCACTTTCTGTGGAATATAGGAATCTCCTGCAAGTGTTTGTTGAGCAGCTTTAAGGCATTGGAGATGGTGTATTGCAAAGTACTGCTGATGCTGATTATGCCTCTAAGGCTAGGATTCAGAATGCTCACGCAACACAGAGTGTTCTTCAGAACCACCAGGGAGATGATGAAGTTGAAATTCTTTAGCTTGTCTTTCAGCTTGAGCAGCTGTTCCACAATTGCCGTGTCCGCCTCAGACAAAGCGCTAGTGCACATTTCTCCTATGCTGTTCAGAAGTGGCTCCAGAATGTCCAACATGGTCTGGAAGGCATCGGTGCCGTATTCCCAGTTGTTCTGGCAGGCCTCTTTTACACGATCCACCTCACCTTTGATGTGACCATATGCTGTAGTTATCTTGGCATGTAGTTTTTTCATCAGTGTCTCAGACTGCCTCAACATGGCAGCAACTTCTTCTACAGTATCAACCACCTCCTGTATGGGAAGCACCGGCAGGGAACGAATTAGCCACATGTTGAATGCATAAGGGTCACTGGGCGCAAGAACGACTTGTGGGAAATCCCTCAGCATTCTACAAGAAAGCTCTTTCAGCTTCTGACACAGGCTACCTGTCGTCAGGTAAGTGAAACCTCGACAGTGCTCCATCCGCAGTCCCCATTTGCCACGAATCTCAGACACTAGCATGTGGAACAGACTGTCCGAGTCTACGTCACAGGGCAGAAATCCCATCAGGTGCTTCTGTGGAAAGCCGTCATTGGTGACAGTGCGTGTGAACACCGGGATCTGATCTTTGCCCTCTATGTTTGTTTTATCTTGAAGAAGAATGGAGAAGAAGCGGGCCAAGCGCAAACTGTTACGGATCTCCTCGCGCATCACATCCTCTCCTAAGTTCAGCACGTCTTTTGAATCAATTTTTTCTGCACAGATGGGGTTGACCGTTAGCTGTCCAACAGGACCACTCCCCATCGACTTCGCAGCATTGTTGCCAATGCTGAAGCCAGTGAAAGCTAAAGTTTCCTTGAAGTAAACTTTCAGAGTTTCCTTGGCTTTGGAAGTAGCAGGATCATCCTTCTCTGGTTCATCCAACGGAGGATTCTGTGTCACACTGTTTTCTCCTGGGTCTTCTTCCACTGTCTGCTGTGGAACTGCAGCCTGTGTATTACCTGAAGAGAAGTACATATTTATTAGTCTTTTCTTCATGCACATAACATCTGTAACCAAATTTTGCATTACCAACCTTTTGTCTTTTTTGCTTTGACAGGATCCTCGGCAACCTGAAAACACAGATACGAAGGAATACGCTTTAAATATGCAGCCACACTTCTGTATTACTTTGTAATGAGTTGTTGAGACTTGATCATAGAATTCACTACTGAATTCTTCACATTATAAAGGTCAAATATATTTGGAGTAGCATAACTTATCAAATCAGAACATCACACTCTCTCTCTGGCTTACATGGACATTATGATCCAACAAACACACACTGAGAAACACAACTATATCAAAATAATGACTAACAGGCAATACATTATGTATTACTTGCATGTAAGTAAGCAATCTATGGCTATTTCAGTGTATCAACATCAATCTAAGGCTGTTTCCACACCTGATTTGTTTGCTAAAGCTCACCCCGGAGTTTGGGTTTTTGTTTAGTTCAGTTGGTTTCACATTACGACAGATAAACTAACATACTTGGTCACCATTTTTGTTATGTGAAATTCACGAAATGTTTCAATATTTCTTACCACTACTGCCTAAATAAGGTTTAATCTTTTTCAGAGTTAGCTAGCAATGTTTGCTATCTGAACAAAACCAGAGACATTATAAAGGAGGTCTGTTACTTCCACTCATCCCAGATAGCAAGCATATATTGGTTAACACGCTTGATAAGGTCGGCACCCCGCTGACTGTTTGCCACTGCTGGTCCACCCTCGGACCACCCAGATTACTGTCCTGCATACAAGCTCTAACTAGTTTTTAATCTCCTCAAACAGATTTTAAATACACACACTTATTTTACAAAATAAACAGACAAATATTACAAACAACTGAGAGAAAAATGACTAGACCTAATGTAAAATGATTTTAGAAGAACTGTTGTTGCTGATGCTGAGCTAGATTAAAATTGTTTACTCAACTAATTTACAAAATACAACTAAAGAAAGGATGGAAGGAAGGAAGGAAGGAAAAGTAAATCAGACTGAGTGGAAAATGAGCAATGGTAAGTGGAATTTTGTCTAATACTCTTAGCCACCGGTGGGACAGCCGGAAAACGCTAAACAAAACGCTAGTGGACCACCAGCTTTGCCATCAGCAGGCCAAAAGTGGTCCACTATCCTCTTACTATCAGGGATAACACTACTATATCTCTGAATGTGGAGAAACCTACAAACTTAAAACTGAAAGCCACATAAACGTAACAAACATTTTTGAAATCACTGGTAAAATCTGGCAAAAATCACAATTATTATGTAGAACTCTGCTCAAGCAACACATAAACTGAAAAGAACGGGCAGCTTTACAGACTGGCTCTTTTTATCAAAGTGCGGGACACTTCCCAAAAACAAATAGCATTGAGTTCATCACTGAAAAACACACTCCCACATGCAGTAAACTGAATCAGATTGACAATTTTTGGCAGACCACTGTTCAGTTGTTTGGTGTGGACCCAAGTATTACACAAAGCAGTATTTCTCAGTTAGCTAGACAACTTAAGCCCAAAGTCAAGCCTGTCCAATAGGGAAAAAGAGCTAAGGGACATTCCTATTGGACAGTCCTCATCTTCGGGCTCATGTTATCTGGCCGACCAAGAAGTCCTTCTTTGCGAAATGCCCCCCAGGTGCCCTGAGCTCACCAGTCATAACAAGCCAAACTACAGGAAAGCTTTAATTAATCCGCACCAAACCAGACAGGTGTGGAAATGTCCCAAAACACATTTCTAGCTGAGTCATGTTTGTGTTTGCACTGATGTCTTTCTTGTTTTGAATCGGATTTGAAAAAGCAAAGCGGGTGAATACGTAAAGCAAATATTAAAACTGTAGTGTTCAGTAGGTTCTACTGAACTCACCGTTTGTTTTGTTCTTTTTCTGCTGCTCCTCTGTGTGCCGTCTTTGTTGGTTGTGAAGTTAAATATAGTTGGAACTGCATCATCCTTCAAAATAGACTTAAGCTCGCTCTAAAACAAAACAAAATGTGTAAACATATGGCTGCATCAACTGGCCTTCAGCAACATCATAATATATACATTACAAATAGGACAATAGGGACAAAACAACATCAGAAAGCAGCACTACACAACAACAGGAACAGCTGACTAGCTAGCACAGATCAGAAAACCATATACAATGCTATCTATCGCAAGTTGACTGAAGCTACTATGAAACCTCTTTCAGTTACTGCATTATGGAACAGAGAGCTTGCTGCCCTAAATTATACTCCGGAATGGGGAACTATTTAGTCTAATCTTAAGAGAACATCCAAAAATTTAGCACATCAACTTATTCATTTCAAGGTTATTCATAGAGCATACCTGACACCGTATAGAAGATTTAAAATGAAGCTCCAAACTACCCATTACTGTCATATATGTACTAACACTGCTCCTGGTACATTTTTACATATGTTCTGGGAATGGCCCTTCATTGAAAAATTCCAGAAATGTGTCAATTCAGTGTTGTCTGATTTACTGGAAATTGAATATAATTATGACCCATGTTTGTGTCTCTTGAATGACAACTCCAATATAGGGCTAAAGGTTATACAGAGTAAACTATTGTTTTCTGGATTTACTGCTGCTAAAAAGACAATCCTACAAAACTGGATCACACCTGGACTTCACTTGGAATCATTCTGGGCTGTTAATTTACTTAACGTAGCAAAACTTGAATGTACGGCTGCGCGACTTAACCATGCTAAGCACATGACTGTTGAAACATGGCAAACTTTTGTGTTACGTATTTTGGATTTCCTGCAAGGTATACGTTGAATGTGGACATTTCATCCCTTATTTAATTTTGTGATGTTGTACCTTTGATCATTGTTGCTGTCTATGTCTCTTTTTTTGGTTGTCTGTTGCCCCCTATCCCCTTGTTGTTTGTTGTTTTGTGCAATAAAAATTCTTGATCACAAAAAAGAAAACCATATACAATGCTCTTCTATTCACAGAGATCCAGAAGTGACATGACCTTGCCAGGTTTCTAAGGAAAAAATGAATGCTAATAAAATATGTACTTACTTCCTTGTGTATCAAAGATGCATCAAAATGCTTCGAGCAAAGTTTGAAGTTTCTGTGTAAGTATTCAGGTGTTTTAGTCTGGAGGTCTGGTCTGCCACAGTTACCCACCCATTGTTTGCATCTGGAAATAAAGGAGAAAAACACTGGTCAGCTTTCTAGCCAGTTTAACACAGGATAAAACGTCACAAGGATACTTTGCGTAGTTCAGTAGAACGTGCTTCTGGTCACCTTCTCATGTTCTCCATCAACATCATCTGTGAATCTCGGCAGCAATCAGACAGATATGTTTCCAGATTCACCCTGAAGACTGTTCTTCGATTGCCAACTTACAGGTCACAGAAATCACTTCTATATAATTTTCTCTGTCTTGGTGGCTGTAATACAGCACTGGACTAGCCAGGCTAAAATAGAGCCTCCCTCTAAGGGGGTTAGTCTAATACGCTGTTACAACGAAGACCCCCAAAGTAAACAATGAGACTCTCACCCCATATACATTTAAAAAACAGTTCATTTCTTTTTGAAGTCGGCACAAGTTTATGAAAAGTGTCCTACAGAAAGAACATAATTCAGCTTTCTTGTGCGGCTGTTCTAAAATAAATTCAGCAGCGTTTGACGCGATTTCTTTCCATTAATCATTTACTTTAATGCAAACATTTTTATGTACAGGGTGATTAAAAAAGATTCATCCGATTTCAAAGCGCGATATTTTTACAACCGTGAGTCGCCTAGGAACCAATCACAATCCAATTGAAAGAGGGGGTCATAGAGTCTCTGACTGTCAGTGGAAGATGGCTCCTTCAGTCTGAGAGGAGATGAGACCCCTGAGCAGAAAGCGTTCTGCGTTTTCCACTTCAATAAGAGTGAATCAGTCATAACTGTGCAGTGTGATTTTCGTGGGCAGTGAAGCTCCAACAGCTCAGAGCGTTCGCCGTTGGTTCCACAACACTGGATGATCTCCGAAATCGCACTGAAAGAGCCGTGAGTGCAGCGACACTCGACATGCTCAATCCAGTATGGGATGAGTTTGACTATAGTGTTAATGTTGTCTGTACAGCTGGAGGAGGTTCATACTGAGACCTTGAACAATTACATAATAAACTTTATGCTCATTTAAACCATTTACAGTTCACTGCATTGTTCTGTAATGATTTACAAGTGAAATAAATCATTTTGAAATCGGATCAATCTTTTTGAATCACACTGTATTTAGGTTGGAAGGCTTGTCTGGTTCAAATAACCCAAAACTGCACTGATCTCCCCTAGACGACAACATCTTTCCCTGGAGTGTCGATAGACTGCGCCATGCCCATATTAGGAATTTCGGGACAAAGCCATTTTTCTGCATGGGGAAAAATGAATAGCGTCTATATTGCTGCTATTGTGCTCCGAGCTAAATAAACTCGTTTTGTCTTGTGAATGTTTTAGTAGTATGTATGTAGCAACATTCATATTCAGTCTACTAAACTACCTCATTATCCAGAGGATCCAGTGACATTCAGAAGGACAGAAATGTACACAGGACAAAAAATGGTCTGAACATTTTGTTTATCACAGAGAAAACCAGAGCAGTGTTCTTTATATGAGCATATTAATTAGGAGTGACACACCACATTTACCACTCCATGACACTGCATCCATTCCTGGTACAACACACAGGACATTGCTATTAGTAAAGGGCTTTTACTTGAATGATGCTATTTTATAGTTTACACACAATTGAACATTTAATGTATTCAGTTATTTTATTTGTTGTTGTTTACTCTTGTGTAGGTCACTGTACATCTTTGTGGTATCTTCTAATTGCACTACATGCTATTTATGGGCATATGTTGCACAGAGGACCTGGAGCAATGCTGTTTCATCACACTGACACACTGGACACACTTAAAGATGGTTCTTCAAGCGTTCTTTAAAACCATGAGTTGTATAGAAACATTTGCATGCTAATTTTTTTTAAAAAGTTGTTCTTTATATTATTAAAAAAAAAAAAGTTCTGTTATATTATCAGGCATGTAACAATAAAAGCACCCTTTTTGGCGCTATATATAACCATATAAAACACATTCTCCCTCATTCTGAAGAGCCATTCCACCATGCAAAGAATTTTTTAAGTATGCAGAGTTGTGTGGTTCTTCTGTGGTTCTAAATAGAACCACTGCCTTTACTAAAGCACTCTCAAAGAGACATTATTTTTAAGGTGTGTATACTTGTGCATGGTTGAGAGGACAAAGGTCTTCAGATCTTGATTACTATTGGCTCATACGCAAAAATCCTGTACCAAACATACAGAAATTACTTAAAATCTTCATTTTCAAAAAGTGCACATGCACAGGTCTCATAAAACCCAGGAATAGCACAGATTTGCATCATAAACAGTGCTCAAAATTAAAGGGGAACTCCACCAATTTTTCAAAATATCCACATATTAAACAGTTAAAACAGAGTGATTCAGAGAGGTTTGGTGTGAGATGGTTCAGATGTCTTTACAGTGGTGGTGACAGGAACCAGGGGTCGCCATGACTACAACACAAATAGACATTTTATTTACTATCCAAAACCACCAGTGAACCGACACGAGTCTTCTGAGTTTATATATTTATGTTGACGATGGTAAAACAGTGGATAATCTGAAAAGTTGGGACGTTTTTGGCCTAAACTATCACAACACTACTGTAAAGACAATAACTCGGACATCAGGCAGTGAATTCATAACCATTTCATGTAGTAACTTTCTGTGAGGGAGCTTTTAGAGGTGGACGTCTGATTCCTATCACCACCACTGAACAATTTCATTTTTACACCAAACCACTCTGAACCACTCTGTTTACATCTGAACCAGTTAATTATACAGGAATTCTGAAAAGCCGGTGGAGTTCCCCTTTCAGCCCCTGCCATTTTGAGGAGGGCCTGATGATGGCGAGCGAGAACCAAAACCTTTTGCTTGCAGTCGTCATGCAAAAGTTAAGGCTAAAATCAATGACTTTATGCGCATGCTAGTAACCAGCTGGTGCCTGCAAACCTCGATTAAAGAGACCTGAATGGTCAGTGTGGTGACCACAGGCTCAGATGTGGGAGCAGGTCGAGGAGGAAGAGGCTGCACTGCCTTCAATGAATCAAAGAGGAGGAATTAGCTGGCTAACTAGCAGGCGATGCTAGCACGGTCCGTTCTGGGCTCTGTGGAAGAAAATAAGCAGAGTGAGGGTCAACACGCGCCGCCAGAACACGGCCGGAGATCCGCACTCACCGCTCAGGGTCCAGAGGGAACCTGAAGAAGGCGATGTCGGGCTGGTTGGTGCTCTGCTTACAGTCCGCTGCGGCACAGCAGTCGGGCATTTTGGACTACATGCATTCACCTAACAACCAGCATCAAAATGCATGCGTGCAAACGCCTCCCGCGGCCGCTGCTGCTGCGACGGGCGCGAGCTGGGCGACAACAGCGCGCGCCACAGTCTGGATCACCGCCTGAAGCTGAGCTGTTATCTCCTGGAGGGGATCATGCCACGAGCTCGGTGTTCGGAGACCGAGGCGCTGCTGCTGCTGCTGCTACTTTATCCTCCTCCTCCACCAGGAAGAACAACCGATATGGAGCGGAAATGGACTCCCACCGCAGCAGGGATCATGAAAGGCAGCAGCGGCACCGGCTCTGATTCCCAAACGCCGCCGGGACCCGCCAAGCAGCGCCGACCGCACCGACACCTACAGCACGTACAGCGGGCACCGCACGGCCCGCACAGACATGCCAGAGAAAACCCAGCTCGGTCCCTCCAGTTCGCTTTCCTTTCAGGTTTCACTTCACCACGAGGCGCCAAGGATTCCCCCCTCCCCTGCTCTCCTCACGCGCGCTCTCATTTGCCCACGTGACCAAGTCGAGAGCACACCTCTCTTTTGTCGTGATAGGTGAGAAATGCAACGAGCCAGTATTGAGGTCAGCGCCTTCAGACGTGCATAACGTCCACTGGTTTGGTCTAATCGTGACTTCCAGAGCTGAACAGCAAGAACAGCTGTTACCTTCCACACTGGCCACTTTATTAGAAACCCCTACGTTGTGCTTCCACTCACTGGCCACTTTATTAAAACCCCTACCTTGAGCTTCCAATAACTGGCCACTTTATTAGAAACCCCTACGTTGTGCTTCCAATAACTGGCCACTTTATTAGAAACACCTAGCTTGTGCTTCCACTCACTGGCCACTTTATTAGAAACCCCTACCTTGAGCTTCCGCTCACTGGCCACTTTAGTAGAAACCCCTACCTTGAGCTTTCTGTCCACTTTATAAGAAACACCTGTCTTGTGCTTCCACTCACTGGCCACTTCACTGGAAACATGCACCTTGTGCTTCCGCTCACTGGCCACTTTATTGGAAACCCCTACCTTGATTTTCCTGGCCACTTTATTAGAAACACACACCCTGTGCTTCCACTCACAGGCCACTTTATTGCAAACACCTACCTTAAGCTTCCTGGCCACTTTATTAGAAACACGCACCCTGTACTTTCACCCACTGGCCACTTACAAATTGCTTCCTTATTGGTCACTATACACACTGTAGTTCATCTGTTGCAGCAGTTTATCAACCTCTCTTATTCATCACTGGTCTGTTTCTGGGCTGCTGTTGACCAAACTACTGTCTACCGTCAGGACAGCAGTGACACTGTATTTTGTGAGTGGTCAACCCAAAAACATCCCTCTGTGGTCAGACAATGACCACTGATGAAGAAATAAGAGGACAACTAATACAAACTGTACACCAACAGAAGAACGACAGTCTCCAACTGTACAGCAGCATGGAGGAACTACAAGAGAGGGGTTTCCGATAAAGTGGCCATGTAGTATAGATAGCTTTGTGGTACTTAGTTTCTGCATTGTTTTTCTAAAACTGAACACACAAGACTGAGACGCTGAACCACAACACACAAACCAACCTGAAATGATGACGTCAAAAGTAAACAGCTATTTATTTTCTCTATTTGATCAAGGAGAACAGGAATGATGTCAGAAGTAAAACATCCATTTGATCAAAGAAAACAGGAAAACTGAAATGTTTATTTTACAAGTTGACATGGAAACAACTGTGGAGAACATTGCAATTTCACAAAAGAGCATTTCGCTGAAGTGTAACTGACAAAATTAATTCTAATATTTGGGCACACAACACATTTTAACGTCTCAGACAGTTTCTCACCGATTCTTTCACATTATATACATTCATACCACCTGAAAAAGCAAAATCTGAGACTGGAAACCAAAGTCCAGGTGTCTGTAGTGGTGGTAGTGGGTCACTGTACATGAAAGCAACCATGTTTGCTTATTTTTAGCTGCAAAAACTTGAATTTATATTCTGAGCATTTCCTACAGGTATCTGTATGCCTGTATACTCATCCATCATCCATAATCAAGCAGGTGTCTCTGTTGGCTCCTTGTCGGGATACATTTTCAGGTACGTCTCAACCATCAAGTCCAAGTCATACCCACAGCTGATGTTAAACATGGCCAGACTTTTGTTTCTGTGTTTGGCAGGCGTGTCCTGCAGGTACGCCATTAGACGTCTTCTTGCAGTGCTGCATCTGTCATCTGCGAGCGAAAGGACTGGCAGGCAGCTCAGGACTTTGAGGAGCGCGCAAACATTGGGGAAAAACTTCACGTCAGACAGCTGAAGCGTTTCAAAGATGGTGGACGGTAAGGTAACGTTCTTGGTGCCGTGTTTCCATTTGATCTTCCAGCAGTTGAGTTCGGTGGGTAACGTGTCTGGATTGGGCAGGTCTTCCTTGTAGATTTCCGCGCTTGTTTCTTCCGTGTTGAACTTCAGCTGGCCCATGATCGCAGGCACCAGGGACAGAGACTGCAGAGCTTTGAGGTGATTTTCGGAAAAAAGGTCGCTCAGCTCCTTAATAACGTGGCTGACCACCGGAAAAGTGAGGTGGATTTTGTAGTAGGCCTCAGGCTGGATCTCCTCACCGGCATCCGGACGCTGCTTTCTGAAGAAAAGTCTGGGGATTTTGATGGGGATTTCCAACGCAGCGGCCAGGTTGACGGCCTCTTCGAACCAGAACTCATGGTAGACCTCAATGTTCTCGAGAACTTCGTTGACCGAATGGAGGACAGCCGTCAAACTGCTGGCGGCAAAGAAGACCTCACTGGTTTGTCCTTGGAGATTCTTGCCAAAGGCTCTGGAAAAGGACAACGTGTTCTTCAGCACAACCAACGCCATGACGAACTCGAAATCCGACAAAGCTTCGGATATGACGAAAGCATTGTGCGCAACATCGTCGCTCCATTTGAATTCTTCATTGTCATGGACACTATCCATGCAGAGGAGCAAAGACTCCAAGAGGTCAACGGCCAACTCGAAGGCATCATGCTGTTCAGTCCAATTGGTGTGACAAACTTCCTTGAGGGCAGCTGCTTTCTCTTCGTTGCCCTGGTAGTAGATGGAAATTGCATTTTCCAACTGATTCTGCAGCAAAGGTGACTTGCTGAAGAACGCATCAATCTTTTTCAGGGTTGACATAACGAGCTGCACGCTTGTGAAGTTCATGCTGTTGGCCAGGCAGATGTTTAAGGAATGAGCAGAGCTTGGCGTGAGCACAGCTAACGGATACTGCTCGCTCAGTCTGATGGCCACGGCTTTGACTTTGAAAGCGTAGACGCCAGTGCAGAAATATGCCTGTCCTCTGCACTGTTCCATGCTCAGGCCGTACTTCTCCGAAATTTCGGTCGAAAGGCTCTGAGCGATGGCCTCCACATCTCCCTCAAAGCGCAAGAACCCTAAAAACTCCTCTCGCAAGCTGTTGACCTGGTCTACAAAGCGGATGAACAAAGGAAGGTGGTTCTCTCCTGCTATCTCCACAAGGTTGTCCATGACCAGGGAGAAAAAGCGAGCCTCCTTCACTTCAGCAAGCAAATCTTCAAGAATGCACTTCTCGCTCACTTCCAGCATCTGCTGCAGCTGAGTGGACGAGCAGTACTCCAAGTTCACGGCCGCCGTTTCGAATTTCCTTCTGAGCACTTCGTCGCCGGCGTTGATGCGATACTCCAGCAGGGCCTGGAAGTTGCTGGGCGTGAAGCTTTTGCTCCTTGGTTCTTTTTCAGAATGGCCGTGCAGAGGGATGTTCTGCCTCCCCATCATCACCACGACATCAAACAGTGACCGCAGATATTCCTTGTTTTCTCTTTCCTCGTCTGATACCTGAGGACCATTATCAGTCTCTTGGCCATTGGCGCTCTCGGCAGCATCTTTAGGTGCCTCCTCTTTCTCTTCCACTAGATATAAGACAACATACAGACAGGTTAAATTAGTTGGAGGCTTAAAAAATTCACAACCAATACATTTAAACCCATGAGCCAGAAACGGCCAAGAGAGTCTGGCTGCAGACATGCACTCTCAGACAGATGCACTCTCAGCCCCAGTGACGTCACGTGCACATGCACTCTCCGCCACAACAGCTGAAGCAGCCCAACGGCACGGTAACTTTTGGCAGCTGCTGCTTAGCGACATCACTTAATCCATTTTTCATCCATAACACGGCGAGAGAGTTACATTTAATGTACCCCCCGTTGAAAAAAAATCATAGAACCCATTAAAAGTGTCTGTTGGTTCCTGGTGGTTTTCAGTAGTCGCTAATGGTATTCTGTGTTTTCCTGATGGGTTGATATCACAGTGTAAAGGATTCTGATTGTTTAATCAGGTGTTTTGACTGATTCCACATACATTTGATCGTTTCCTAATGGCCTCGAACGGCAACCATCAAGCCAATTCCCATTAGGAAGCAAAACCATCAGGTTTTATTCCTAACGGCCTGCAAACACAGTTATGCTGTGACGTTCTGACTGTTTTGGTGCCCACAGCGTCGTCTGCTTGGTGCTTTTCTACATTGTCACAACGTTGAAATGTAATTCCTCAGAAAGTTAAGACAACGTTGTCTGACAACTTTCTAGGAGGTTGTGACAACCTTCCAGAATCCTTAATAAGTTCTATTTTAATCAATATTACAGTTTTTGATAACCGGTTCTACTCGTCTTCAGCATGGCTTTCACGAGTTTCATCAGCAGCCTGTTTTGTTTTTTCTGTGAATAAACCCGACATTCGTGTCTGATCATCGTGGTAGGTTTTATTTAGAAAGTTTCCATATTTAGTTACCTTATTATCAGTATGGCAACGTTAATGTACATTCAGTGTAACTCTTGTTGCTCAACAGTACGTGGTTCGCTGGTTTTCCTCATAAAACCGACAAAACACACTGTGGTGGCAGAGTGGCGCTGACGTCATCAATAGGCTGGCGGTGCATGTCAGGCTGAGAGACCCTTCTCGAAACGACACCCTTCAATAACCGTTTCTGAATGACTCCTGGCTTGAACATACAGGGCTAGGAAGAGCGTCCAAGTC